GGCCCGGCACAGCCCCGCCGCCCCGGCCCCTCGCGGCCCTCGGGGCCTGCTCCTCGCCGTGCCCCGCCTCAGTCCATCGTGGTGGCTTGGAAGAGCTCCACCAGGTCCTTGTACTCGGGGTCGATGAGGTCCGAGGGCTTCTCCCCGGCGTCGGTGGTAGCCTCCAGGCTGGCCCCCAGGGAGATGAGGTACCTGCAGGAGGCAGGGAGCTGAGCCAGCCGGGCCCCCCCAGAGCCCACTGCCCTGACCCCCGGCCACAGGGAGCTCTAAGGCCCAGGTGGTCCCACGTGCACCACCAGTACCGAGCACCCTCCTAGGACGAGGCGCCCAGAGCCCGCTCCAGCCCTGTCGCTGTTGGCTGCGGTTCTTGGGGCTCTGCAACGCAGGGGTGTCCTGTCACAGCCCAGGCGAGGGGCTCCTCACCTGGCTATGTCAGCGTAGCCATCGCTGCAGGCCATGTGCAGGGGTGTCCACCCGTTCTCATCTTTCTGGTGGATGTCTGCGCCATATTTGACCAGGAGCTTGACACAGTCCAGGTTTCCAGTAAGCACAGCTTCGTGGAGGGCTGCCATGCCTAGAGGGAAAGGATTTGTTAGCGCTGGGCTGGGCAGGGAGTCTTAATGCTGAGCTTACAAGTGCAGGTCATCCACAGCCCAGGAAAGAGGGGTGCCAGCAAACCCTCATTACTGGGGAGATGAGCTTGGGGAAAGAAGCAAAGACAGGAAGCAAGAGGAGCTGCTGCAGGTTTCTGTTCCCCTTCCACACCATAAATACCTCATCTAAGATGGCGTAGCAGCCACCTCCCCTCTAGGCAAGGCAGGACAGATTGTAAGGGCGGAGGAGCTGCCCTCTCCTGCAGAGCTCCCGGCCAGTGGCCTGCCCCAAGTCCCAGCCAGGACTCACATGGTGACTTGAGAAGAGTGGCTGCAGGGTCCTGCTCTGTCCAAGTTTCAGAAGCTGCTTACGGAGCAAGTAATGAAGCAATCAGTATAGATAGGAGGAAGCACGGGGTCATTTGAGACCCTGTCTCCCTAGCCATGTGACAGCAGAAGCTGAAGCCAAGCACAAGAAAGGGACAAATCTGGGCTCTGCACCAGCCAGTGCGGATCAAGGCATTCCAGAAACAGTTGCTAGTGAGGTTGGGTGCAAACGTAACACAATGCCTCCCCCAGAAACATAAGTGCCGCAAGTCCACGGATCCGGACGCGCAAGAGAGAACAGTGTTGGTGAGAAATGGACAGAGTCAGACACAAGATGCAGAGCCTTGCTTCTCCCCACTCTTCCCCCAAACTGGGGCAGAGGCAAGAGCCCTACTGTCCCATCCAGAGCTCCACAGACCAGCCTGTGCTCACTGCTGCTTTTCTAGGTCACACCACACTGCAGGTGTGCCGTCATGCCTTGAAGGGACCCAGGGGGCAAACTGCCCCCTTCCCGCAGCATACGCTGACTGTGCCCTTGAGGGGAGATGTTGGGGCACTGGCACAGGGCTCTCTTGGGTGCTGCTTAGCAACGTTGGGGGCACTACTCCTCACTAGGGAGGAAAACGACTCAATTCCAACCTGTGACCCTGCTGAAGGTGGCCCACATCCTAGTTTTGGCCATACAGCTCGCTCATCTCCCTCGTGGCCCAGCTGAGCCATGCCACCACACAGATTCCAGCTCTGCCAACCCTGGCAGCACTCACCAGAAGGGTAGATGGTGTCCAGCGTCACCTTCCTGGCACGTATGAATCTGCCCACCTGCTCCAGGTCCCCCTGCCTGATGTGGTCCTGAAAGACGACATCATTGGGGAAGTGCACAGTGCGTGAGGCTCTCAGTCTCCGGGCGTACCGACTGTACCGGGGCATTGAGGCTGGGTAATAGTCCTTCATGCTGATCGCAGCCTTCAGACACTGCAGAAGAAGAGGAGGAGCAGAGGCATGGGGGGCTGTAGGAGCAGCCGGAGTTGCTCAGTCCTCGGCCCTACCACTCGCTGGCCTCGAAGCGCTGCTTTCTCTTCTGCCTGTCAGGTCCCTCCTCGCTATGGAGGTGTGATGGCACCCACACCGCTGTGCTCCCTCCGCACCCGTGTCTGTGTCCCCAGTGGGTGCAAGTCCCCCTCGCTGGCAGGAAAGTGGCAGCCACCGGGCTTTCCCTACACTCCCATGGCACATGCAGGAGGTGGCGCTGGGCACACACAGTTCGCCCGCAGGCCCTTGGCCCAGGACTGATGGTTCTCCAGCGGCATCGCATTATATAGGCTCCCGTGGGCTATTTTGAGGACATGCAGCTCATGCTGTTTGCCACGATACTTCGTAATCGAGCTGCCCAGGCCTGCAGCCTCCCACTTTTGGGCAGAAGTTGGTGTCTCATCTTACCACCCACCTGTTGATGTGCCCATCCAAAGGGTCAAATCTACTCTTGCTTTTGCATGGATAGCCCTTCAGAGGAGCCCAAGGGCCTGAAAACAGAACTTCCCAGCAGCGAGCCCTCACACACACAGGATCACCAAGTGAGGGGAACCAGCCGCTCATGTACTGACCAGCCAGCACACTGCAGACGTGTCAGAGCTATGGTGCCAAATACATTCAGAGCTAAGTCACTCTCCTGTAGTTGCATCAGACAACTTGAAAGGAGCAGAATGAGCTGTGCTACCCGGCACGACTGTGAGACAGCGTACAGCTAAGCATGGAGAACACCACCAGCACATTGGATATCATCTGTGCCCTCACAAGGACAGAGGTGCTGCTGGTGCTCCTGATGCAGGCACAGAACCAGAAGCCTACAATGCCAGTCTGTGGTGTTCGATGTCCTACTTCAAACTTGGAACCAGCTGCTACAGAAGGGCAGACTTCTACAGAACAGCCTCAGAAAAATAGCTGAAGAATAGCACCACCACCAGACAATTCCTGCATTCTTTACTCTCCAGCTGTGGCTGTCAAAGGCCCAAAGCAGATCATCTACCACAGAGGAATCTTTCAGATCCATCAAGGGTTCAAGCAACAACTGCTCCTCCATGCTTTTTCCCCTCAAAGTTTGGTCATTTCAGATACACAAGCACATTGTGCTCTGTTTCATCCTGATGGGGATTGTCCAGGCAGGTGTCAGGAAAAATCCCTGTACCATGTTAGGAGTCACAGAGATTTCATTCTGCCCCACCCTGCAGCAGACCCTTGTCCTGAACCCCTGCCAGCAGTGATGCCAACAGCTTCATCAGCCACGCACCTGAGAATTGCCTGCACTTGTTTATCTTCTGGCAAATGCATTGATCTTTTTGCCAAGCATCTCTGCTCAGGGTTACATCAGACAGAACACGGTGCAATAGGAGGCTGAGCTATCTGCTGTGGAGACAGAACACTTTAGCTTGCTTTCTTGGAACAGCAATTAGCTGTGTACAAAACACAACTGATGGAGTCCTGCTCTGCTGAGAGGAGCCTTGGTGTATGAGAAAAGCCCCCCTCCTCTGAGCTGAGCAAGGTCTCAGACCATAAACAGGGGAGAACCACTGCAGAGCTCAGCCTTGTTTACACTTTAACTGGCTCCACAAAAATGGACCTCTCTGAGCAGAGTCCTAGCCAGCACCTTCCAGTGGAACTTCTTACTAGCAGTGCTCTCTTCCTCCCCACCCCAAAACGCAAGGCAGCTACCACTAACCAGCCCCAACGCTGGCCGCTAGCACTGCCTGCTCTGTTGGGGTACAGCAATGGACACTGGGCTACACTAAGAGCAAGTCCCCTGCCCGCCTTCAGATGCGTGAGGTCACAGCCCTGGAGGGAGGCATCTTCTAAGATCCTTCTCCACATTAACTGCAGGTAACAGTCACAAACACAACACAACTGATTATGAACAGAGCAGGCAGTAGCAAACACCATTTTCTGATCCCACAGTCAGCAATTGCCAGTTCAACCCCAGCTGAGGTGCTGCTGCACCGAAGGTTTGTGTAGACCATGCCAGGACTCGGCAGGGGCTCTGTTCCTAGGGGAACCACAGGAGGAAGCTGAAGCTGGTGCTGCAGACAAGTGTTGTACAACACTCCTGTTCTACCACCCCAGTGCACCCATGTTCAGTGACAGGCACCAATAGCCTTCCGAGTTGCCCTCTAGCTTCACCATGCCCTCCCCTGTGACATTTATAGCATATTTTCTTACAAAAATATTTTCAGCAGTAAGTGACTGGTTTGGAAATAGCAATGTAGCTCACTGGATCATGTGAGCCTGACTAGCAGAGCTACAGGCAGCCCAAGGTTTCCCTGTAGGCAAATTCCTTGGTTAACTGCTCAAGAGCAGTGAGGTCCTCTCACCTTAAGCCAGCTGGCAAGCTGAGCCACTTATTCTCAGAGCCCAGGCCAACATCCACTCACTGCTAACAGAGCTGTTAGTTGTCTGCCTGCCCAAGCTGATTTAATCTGGACATGACATGGTCATCTTGACGTTCTTTTCCTTTATAGATTACACAATACAAATTTCTTCAGGTTAAGGTACCAGAAGCCACCTGCAAAACTGGAAGCATTCAAAAAGAATAGTTTCTCTCAAGAAAGTGGTATTTAGTGAAAGTTTGAGAAAGCTGACAAACACACACTATTGTGGCAGAGCCCCTTGAGAATCACCCTAGAAGTCTGATCCTCTTTCAGGTCACATTCAAATTTATTCACTCTATATTCTGATAAAGACAAAGAAACAGAGTAGTATTAAAATCTCAACTTTATTTGGCCAACAAATTCAGTTCCAATGTTATTGTAGTGGAATGCTAAGAACCAGCCTGATGCAGCTCAGGCCTTTGAGGCACTCCCCTGTTCAAGTTCCTCCCCAAAACCCAGTAATTGCAAGTGTCCTGTTTGATCTATTTTATCAGGCCCTCCCACACCACCCACCTACCTGGTCAACCCATTCAAAATAATGCATGGAAAGTGACTGCAAAACAGTCTTGCATTTGATCGAAAGGATGGCAACACAGCTAGGTCTTGTCTAAGCTGGTGAGCCAGTGATCACCTCCACCCTCAGAGCCTGCCACAGCCAGTGCACACAGTATTCCACCCTTCCAGGTGTTTGGAATAGTCATCTCCAAGTGTCTTAAAGCAGAGGGGAAAGGAAACATCTGGCCAGCATGAAGAGAAGCACCTTCACATACACCTTTCACCAGGATGATGCCATCAGCCTACTGCCTCTTCCCCTACATATACTGAAGGCTGATTTCCAGAGAAGAACAGCTGAGACCATTAGGACCCTGCCAGGTGCAGAAATTAATTATGGGCTTTAGTTTTAAAATAAAAAAAAGGAAAAAAAGCTTTCTTGGAAGATGTTAGTGGCAAGGCTCCAGAATGTTGGGCCATTGAACTCATGCTACCGCTTCACAATCTGCTTCTACCCAGAAGAACAGAATACTTCAAACAAAAGCTGTGTACAAAAAAAGTACATCACAATAAAAAAAATAAGCCCAGCTGGCTGGGCTGGCTACCTAGTGACAGATCCCTTCTGAAGCAAAAAGAAAGAAAAGATAGTCAAGTGTACAGACAAGTGAGGGTAAAGTGTTATTTTAAAAGCCAATCCCTGGATTTCCAGTCATTCACCTTCTGCTTTAAATCTTAATGGGTTTCTGACTCACTGGACTGCATAACAGCAGCCAATTTAGTGTCTGATTTTTTGGGTGATGTAGATCAGTCTTCTCCTTACAATTCATCCTTTTGGATTTTCTGCTCATCATCACCTTCCTCAAGGTCTGTTTCTTCATCTGTCTCCAGGTCCTCCAGATCCTGTATGGGTTACAAAGACAGCTGCTGACTTCTGGCACATTAGGCAGATCCAAAACCAAGCACAGAACAGCATCGCTAATCTGTTCACTATTCTCTGCTGCCATGTTAACAAAAGATCCAGAGACTTCTACCAAGAGCTCTGAATTTGGGACCTTAAGATTAGAAAAACCCCTGAAAGGCAGTACCTGCACCTGTAACACCCTCCACCCCAGCAGGTGAGGAGCTTCCAACTAGATATACTGCATATGTAATGTCCATCACAATGCTCAAGTTCCAGGTGCTGAGCAGGAGTTCTCAATAAAAAACAAGCCCTCTAAGTACTCCAGCAGTTTGCACAACAACCAGAGACAACTCGTGCACATTTAGAGGTTGTATCATCAACAGTTTCCATGCATTTGTGCTTAAGCCTCCCAAGAATATTTATTTCACACCCAACTGAAGTGTTGTCAATAAAAGGAGCCCATTACAGGCCAATGGCCAGCCAGGCTGCAACTGAACAGATCACACTTTGTGATGTGGGCAATTTTGTTCACCAATAGTATCCTTTCCTGCCACATAACAATCCAGGATCTTATTTAGGGCTGAGGATTCAAGCATAGCACCAGATCTGACCCATGCTCCACATTCTGAAGGCCCAGAGTACTGTATTAATATTACTTACATCATCAGCTGCTGCCCCATCCTGACCTCCACTCTCCAAGAATTTTTTGAAGCCTTCTAGCGTCCTCTCCCCATTATAGTCAATTACCTACACAGGAAAAAACATCAAGATAATGGTTATGGGCACCTACAGAACCACACCCCTGGAAAGGAGAATTCTCTTTCTGAGCAACAGTTAACATGCCAAGCAAAAGGGAATTTAAAAATTCACCTTCACCCATATGAGACGAAGGAAAACAGCTCAGCCACTAGACTTCAGAGATCACTGCGAGGAAAGAATAGCCTGCAGATGAGCACACTGTCCTCTGCTATGCTCCCTCTTTTCCCAATTCCCACTTCCCACCCCCACCAAACTCTTTCCTACAGCCCAGCCCCCCACAAAGGGTCTCAGATGTCCTGTAGACTTGATGTGTTCCATCCCTACAGAATGGAGAGCCCTCCCAAAGGCCTTGTCCAAAACAGAACTCAAGCAGCAGGCAACTA